GACTGGGCAAAATATTTTCCTCAAGGCCAAAGTATATGAACCATTTTGGAAAAACATGATTACGAGATTGATGAAACAATATAAACCAGAAATGAGTTATTGGTCTAATAAAGAAAACATTAAACCAAGCAGTCTTGTAATCAAGATAATTGAAATGTTCAAATTTACCATTAGGTAAATTCATACTTTTTTCTTCCCAAGTTTTTTGTCCCTAGCTTCATAAGACCAAACCTTAAAAATTGAAATTTTTGAAAAATCTGGATGTCGAGAATCTTTTGGAGTGTGAGTAATAATGGCTGATTTGGTTTTTGTCAGAATAGCATCATAGTACTCAAGGTTATTTTTCCTGTTATTTGGTAGCTAATGAAAGTTAGGGGGAAAAATATTCAAAAGACATCCTTTAAGAGAAGACTATTTTTGGTTCCAAGAACTTTCCATTTCAAGAATTGGATATTGAACATTTTTTGTGAGGCATTTGAAAGTATTTGAGGGGTTGATTTCTGGAAATTTTCCAATACCTGTTTGAACAGCATTTTGAAATTGGTAACTTTTGACTCATCGATCACTTTGATGAGGAATTAATTTTGAAGTAAGAGTCGTATTTTGAGAAGAAGAAGTTGCATGGGAATTTGAAATATAATCTTCAATTGAAAGAAAAAGAATATTTACTTTCTTCTTCATTTCTCTTTCAACTTTTGAGAAGTCCATTTCTCACTCTTTTCTCTCAAGATTGTATGAATTCTCTTGTGAGAAAGTTTGCAAGATAGTTTGATTTTCCTTGTATATATAGTATTTTGAAATCAAAACAAGATAAAATAGCTTGCCATCTAGCAAAAATTTGCTTTGAAACAAGAATTTTCACATCTTTTTATAAAACATCTTTTGATACTTTGCAATCAGTTTTAAGAACAAATTATTTATTAATTAAATCATTTTGAAATACATAAAATTATTGATAAAATTTCTTTTTTGATGGTTGAGTAGTTCTTTTGAGGGCCAG